AACATGCAGCTGTGTCCAAGTTTCAACTGCCTCATAATGAATGTGAGTAAATGCCTGAACAAAACTGTACCAACTGTACAACAGTTACATCAAAGTCACCTTTTGGTTTGTGGACTTGAACTTATTAGAGCTAAGTGGCCATATTTGGATGCGATTGTAGATCATGAAGATAGCTGCTAATTTGTGCTAGGTTTCAGACTAATAAATAATTGGATCACCAACTTCTTCAACTGGCTAGTTCCCAGACTCCAGACATGTGCATCAAAGTCACCACAGCTCTCATTTCAAGATGCCAGCTTTTTAAACAAATCCAAAAAAGTAGAATTATAAAAATATTTTCCACTGTGGAGTTGAATTGAGGGCATAAAATACTTAAAGAGTTTTTTTTAAATGTTTTTTTTTTTAAATCAAACTTTAAACATGTTTGTTTCTGCAGTGAAATTAGTAATTTCAACAGTCTTGTGGGGATTGATGTACTTTGGGACAGCCTCAAGTGGCCGTTAGAGGAACTGCAGATTTTAGCACTGATATGTTGGCTTTATTTTTGGCTGTAGTGTGGAGCTAAAGAATTTTTGCAGTAAAGTTATCTATTTATGTTGGGAGCTTGGATTGTTTCAGATTTCCTTTGCCCTTATTTGCATATCTACACTTCCACAGTCTGTCTTGTACTCTTCCTCTATCTGTCTCTGTGGCATTTGGCTGGCAGGATGGGATTGTGTTGTTGCCACCTGCTGTTGTCTGTCAGAGCTGTCTTGTGGGTAATTGTACATCAGGCACAGAGCACGTCTCAGGCAAAGGCTTGCAGGAGATTAGGTGCTGACCCAAAATGTGAGCTGACAGCTGAAGAGTGTGAGCCAGCCACGTATATCTACGTGTGTGTGTTTGTGGAGGGGGGCATGGGAGGGGTGTTGATAACTGAAAAAACAATGTCGCAAGTAATGTAAGTAACAGTTGGCATTTATTTTGAGTCATGTTGTGTAAATGGGGAATGTTAGTTTCTCCACTAACTCCTGAGGAACATACACATACATGCCAAAAGTATTCACTCACAAATCCAAATCACTGAATTCAAATGTTCCAATCACTTCCATGGCCACAGGTATATAAAAATCAAGCAGGCAGGCTGCTTCTAAAAACATTTGTGAAAGAATGGGTTGCTCTCAGGAGCTCAGTGGATTCCAGAGTGGAACCATGATACCTGCAAAACAACAACAACAAAAAAAAAACAAGTCCAGTTGCGAAATTTCCTCTCTGCTAAAAGTTATTGGCATTATATAAGCGGAAGCAATTACGAACAACAGCAACTCAGCTATGAATCCAATCCAAACCTTACATTACTGAGCGCAATGCAAAGCGTCAGAAGCAGTGATATAAAGCATGCCACCACTGGGCTCTAGAGCAGTGCAGATGTGCTTTCTGGAGTCACAATTCATGCTTCTCCTTATGGCAATTTAAAGGATGAATCTGGGGTTGGAGGTTACCAGGAGAGTGTTGTCAGGTGGATCTTCAGGAGTTGGACTCGCCCCCTTATTTCCAGTGGAAGAAACTCTTCAGCATACCAAGACAATTTGGACAATTTGGGGATGGCCTCTTCCTGTTCCAACATGTCAAAAAAGACATGGATGAGTGAGTTTGGTGTGGGAAACCGTGACTGGCCTCCACAGGGTCCTGACCTCAACCTGATCAGTATCAGGTATCTGACCTCACAAATGTTCTTCTGGAAGAAAAACTCCCATAAACACTCCTAAACCTTGTGGGAAGCCTTCCCAGAAGAGTTGAAGCTGTTGTTGCTGTTTACTTCAACAGCTGACATTTGCGTGTGCCCATCTGCTGTTTGGTGCTTAGTGGGTGTAATAGCTTATTTGGTAAAACCTGCTTCCTGCTGCACCTGGAAGCTCAATAACACAAGTCAGGCTGAGCCACACAGCAGAACATAGAACCAAAACAGAGAGATAACTGTGATTGTTTCTCAGGTTTATCATAATATAAATATGAGAACTATCCAGTGATCAAAAAAGCCCAGCACATACACAGGTGTTTTAAATTATTCCAGCTTTGTGGATTTGTGGAGTCAAGAGTTACAGGATGTAAACAAATGACAAATGCAATAAAACTGTTATTGGGAAAGTGAAAGAACTGTTGGTCAAGCATCATGTCAGTGCCATTTGTGTGTTTAAATGATGGATGATGGTGCTTACAGATGTAGACGAACGTCATGCGACTCATACAATTTGTGTTTGTGGCGTTGGCTTCGAGGAAAGACTCTGTGCTGTGCTACTCTGTGTTCCCACAACAACCGCAAAGTTTCTTAAGAGTTGTGAAACCTGAGTGCAATGTGTGTCTAATTACTTACTGTGCATGTGTGTGTGTGTGTGAGTGACTCAGCTGTTTCCACACCACCGGAACAGATTCAGACGTGACTGGAAGCACTTGAACCAATCAGATCGCTTGGGATGGTGTGGGTGTGTTTCAGAGTGCCCACTCTGATTGGACCTGGGGTCCGCTGGAGTAAAAACAGCACAGTAAACCAGCTGTGAGTGTTTCATCACAGTCAAGTGATGTGATTACGTCATATATAAAGAATAACAGTGATTACATCCAAACTTTGTTGCTTTTCGTCTTAAAAGTAGTTTACCAAGTTGAATGTTTTTAAGAAGAAAATTAACAAACGTTGTTGCCAAAACTGTATCTGGATAACCTTTACCTGTTGGCATCTCTCTGTTTTTGTCTATACTACAAAG